GGATAGCTGGGAGGAGTGCGGAGAGGAGTTGGGGTGCGGAATGGGTGTAGAGGAATGTGTGTAGGGGTGCGAATGCTGCCGGGGCGGGTATGGTAAGAGGGAGTACTGGGAGGGTGACGCTGACTGTGGCGCCGTGAGACGAGGCTGATGGAGGGAGGCGGGGGAGTGAAGCACAGTTAGATGCGAGGACGAGGGCGTGGGTTGCTACGAGGGTCACATGTGAATCGGAGGTGGATGATTTGGAGAGAGCGAGTATGTGTGTTGGGTAAGAAGAGGAGGGCCCGGATGGCCGAATCGGGATTGTCAGACTAGGTGTGTGGTGCAGTTGGGAGCGATGCATGCTCGGAGACAATTGAAGGGCTGAGATACCAGCAAACATCCTGAGCGATATGTTAGAAGGAGCTTATTGTAAGATTTGAAGTGGTACTCACTGGTTCGCCTGATTCTTGAGACCACGTCGGACGTAGTCGACCGGTACATGAGACAGTTCAGGATCGATAGCAGCAATATTTTGAGCAGGGACCTCGATGTATTGTGGACGTTGCAACTTGCGAGGAAGCTGGACGTTAGAAGGATAAGATTGTTGTGAAGCCATTGTTGATGCGACTGATTCCTCGTAATCCCAGATGGCTTTTGTTTGGATTGGGTGTGCAGGACGAACTTGGTACATGGTGGCTAGATAACAAGAAGGATATCAAATCACTCTTGGGAGTAGTTGTGTTTTTAAAAAAGATGAGGATGAGAATTGCTTTATATCAGTCTAGTCTTGCAACCGTTTTCAGAACAAGGATATGTTTCTTGAGTTTGTTTCACTCTCTTTGACGCTTTTTTGGACATTCGTTTGTAGACGGTTTAGGTAATTCCCAGCAACCTTGCTCGCCCTCCGCGAGTCAGGTCATATGCGTGAAATTCAAGCCAGCGCGTTTTTTTACGTAGTCATCACTACTCGCCAAAAGGACAAGGACGTACCTTGTTCTTTCACCTCATCCAAAGCTGTCACCTAACCTTTTCTGGCATCAAGAACCTGCTCGAACATGGCATACCTTGTTGACGTGCTCGAGGCAAATTTACGTCGATGTGATTAATGTCTTCGACTTCCATCTGATGCCTTGTCTTAGGTTCAAACCTTCTCGTTTTGTGACTGATAGCATGTGAGTAGACCCTGCACTGCTAACCTTTTGTGGTACCGGTTACTTGTAACAAGTAGACCTTGTTTGCGTGGTCAAGGTAAATTTACGTCGATGTAGACCTTATCATCAGACGGATTGAGTTATCTCTAGTACTGCACGCCTCCGCCGCAGGCTAACTATCCGACGGCACTTGATGACGTTTTGAAACCAATCCCGAGAACATTATTGGAGGAATCAAAATTACTCCCAGGTGGAACCCGGAATTAAATTCAGTCTGAGAGTCTGCCAGTGGGACGTAAACTGTTGATGGAATTCCTAGAAGATGATGTTAAGTAGTGGCTCTCCTGAAATAAGAAATACTTTCTGATGCACGATGTAACTAATCCAACGCAGCCTTGCAGTAGGCATCGCCACGTGAAATGAGGTTAGTAAGCTAGAATAGGCAAGTCTCATATGTGTCATGCACAGCGGTTGAACTGCATTCCCCCATCTGTGTAATTGTTTTATGATGCGCGTCAGCTAGCATTCGGTCCACAATTCACAATCATTGGCACTTGTCCTTTCCACCACCGTGAAGCACGCACCACATGTTGCTCCACGATTCTCGACACCCACCAGGTGCCGAATCATCAACTTCCTTACTCTCTTGTAACAGAGAACGGTCTTCCACCTTACGGCCCGCCAAGAAATCTAGTCCAAAATTACACCTGTCACCCGTTATTACAGCCAAGCGACCTTCTTCGCCTACGTCTGATACCCGGGCATTGAAATCCCCAACTCGATTACACCCGGGACCAGCTAGCCCTACGAATGGCACTGTGCATTCCTCAGGGTTTCGTGCCCAGCTTGCGCATCTCTTGCCTCGTCATGCTATATTTCTCTTGCGTCTTACCATACATCAGCTCAGCAGCGTCCCGTTTGTCAATGGAGAATTCGAGGTGCGGTGGAAGTTCAAGGGGGTCACGTCTGGTGGAGGTCTGTTGGGAAAGGTGAAGGGCAAGGGCAGGGCTATGGGGAGTACCACCCCGAACGGAGGTGCCAGTTCAGCTAAAGGAAAAGAGAAGGAGAAGCTTCACGAAAGTGAAATAGACGTGGCTAACGTCAACGATGCCTCAGACGCTCAAAGCATTACCAACTCCAATTCATCCCACTCACATGGCCCATCCATTCCCTCAGTCATCGTATCTGCAAACTCACCTGTAGTATCCCCTACTTCAACCTCAAATACGGGCACCGTCTCAACCCCTAGTACAACCTCATCATCCCAGCATTCTCGTACTCAACACGTACCCCCACAATACCTTTCCGCTGACTGGTTACCCCAATCTACCCCACCAGGCCCATCCCCCTCTCTCGCTAAATCACCTCCGAATGCCTATTCTCCTGCCAAAGGTCACACTCCATTTGAACAGCTAAAGGAACACAGCGTGGTATGGGAACACACTCTTGATGTTATGGTCCAGATGGGTATTGGCAGGGAAACCAACGAACTCGGAGGTTGTGAGGCAAAATTCGTCGTCATGCAGGTCCGTTTTCTGCAGTTGCTTTTTCTTGTCGTCTTTTGCTGAGTATGTTTCGCAGCGAGTTATCCCAGGCGATCCAGATGCACCGCGAAATCCTAGGCTTGGCGCCGTGAGCCTAAATCTCGCTCAATATGTCGACGCTGGAGTCGTCACTCGCCGCTATTTACTTAGGCAGAGCAAGACCAATGCTACGCTCAAGGTATTTCTCCTATCAGTCTCTCTGTTCTTTTTTGACTTGGCATTTCCTCACAGCTCACTGTTCAATTGGAACACGTCAGCGGCGAATCATCCTACATCGCTCCACCTCTCCCTAAAGGAGAGATCCTAAGCGGGGTAGCCGGTCTACTCGACAATGACATCTTCCGAACACGACCACGCACCCTTGATCTCTACGCAAACGAAAACTCCTCGTCCTCCTCTGTATCTACCGTCTCAACCCACTCTTCCCCAAAACGCGGACCCGGTTCAAAGCGGAAAAAGAACCCGTTGGACGCGAGCCAACTTCCGAATACTCGTGGTATCCGCGGGACGGAGAAGCTCATCGAAGCGCTGTTTAATCCTGCACCTGTCACGCGCCCAGGGCAACTCACCCCCTTCACATATCTCCACGAGCCTTTAGCGCAGCCGCGTGACCACTCTCGAGAACTTACCACAGAAGATGGGCACGTCCAAGTTTACGCGGATGAGGATGAAGCAAGACTCGCAGACGAATCCCTATATTCAAATTCAAATTCGGATTCCGTGGACCTGAACCACCCTCTTCCGGTACGCCAGGACTCAGAGAGCGATTATCAGAGTATGCGCTCGAAGTGGACTGGCTCATTACGGGCGCCGTCTATGAAGAGTATGCGATCTGTTGCTAGGGGTCGATCAGGGGTCGACGTTAACGAGCTCGGCCTGAGCTCTGCTGTATCGAATACGACTACTGTGGAGAAGCGGGGGTGGTGGCGGAAGGTGCTCCATGCCGGAGCTGCATCATGATAGTAGGGGTTTTTCTTTTTCCTACATCTACGTCTTTTGTCACTTTTAAGGTTGCTCTTCTTGTTATTTGTCATTCAGGTTTTCGATTTCGCTATTGCACTGCATTGCTTTCAAAGGGAGGATTCAAATAATCGAGTTTTCATTTATATATCTATAGCTGCATTATGCTCCTACTACATCGTTCTGTTCGTTCATCTTTCACTACATAAATTGTATGGTATGGTATATAATCATGCCTTAGTGGATTATTATATTCTTGTGATAGGGCGCCGGGCGCTTGAAATGAAATGAGACACGTGCGAGTTTAACTTGAAAGAAGCTGCCAGGTTGTTGAGATTCGAGGCATTATCTAGGAATGTGTGCTACAGGATAGTCGCATCTGCAATGCTCAGGATTCAGCTCGGGAATCATACAAGAAACACTGAATAACCACTCACCACTACTAGTCATACGCGTTAACTCGAGGAGGCATCGGCCCCGACCCAAATACCCCCCAGCGATATTCATCCCAATTTCCGGGCATGTGGGACTAAGTTATCTCTGCGTCTCTGTTTTGCCTCTTTTGGCATCTCTTTCTCGAGCTGGATCTTCGCTTCTGCTTCATCAGGAAATTCACACATTCCCTATTTTGCCCTTGAACAGACTTATTTGCACTTGACCGCCTTGTTGAAAATGGATCTACTTGTCCGAAATTTCAACTTGAATGTATTCAGAAAAAATATATTGAGGTGTATTGATATATATGTTTTATTGTGTTTCACACTCAAAAAAATATAAGATATGCTAGGTCAATGATGTGAGAGAGAGCAAACGAGTTTTGAGATAAGTGTAATTACTGATGTTGTACCGAAGGCTAAACCTCCTCTTCGGCACGTCTGGCTGTTCGCATACCAAGATCCTGTTAAAAGCTAAGAAACAAGACACGCTAAAGAGAACATAATTAGAGACGGCGGGATGACAGGAGACCAGAGAGCATACCTCAGTGTTGGAGACAAGGTATGATACAACGAGACAGTACGTATTATATATTAAGTGAATGCATGTGATAAAAACGAGAAAGGAAATGTGCTATGAGGATGACGATTCAACAGATCCGCATGCCTTCCATACCTACTAAATCAGCTTTGGTACGCAGGAGGTAATTATCAACGCCACCGTTACTGCTCCCCCATAAAAGTAACGGGCCCGGGCCACTCAGTAAGCTCTCTGAATTCTCGCTCGATTTCCCTCGTAGTAACAATAACAGTTGTACTTAAATGTTTTTCCTACTATTCTTGCAGTGCCACTCAGCCAATGACAAGCATAGGTAGACCTTACTCGGTTTCTTCAAACAGGCACGCAAAGTTCAGTCAACCGTACGGCATTCGTAGTCGGAAGACCTGAGTCGGACTTTACTCAACATGTTCGCTTTAGCTGAATGTTACAGCCATCTCCGAACGATATATAATGCATGCTGGTTCTTCAAGATAACGGTCAAACTGGTGTTCTCTGAACCGGAAATCGATAGAAAGAGAGCTCCAGGTAGCAGTCATCGACAGCCATGACCTCCTCATATCCCTACACGCCTACAACACTCCGGACGAACGTGAAACCTCGTCCATGGGTGCCATTCAAGTCTTATGAAGGGCACGTCGAAGTCCCGCCCTGCCCTTCAAGCCCAGGTCCGATGACTTACTCGGTACACACAACATCAGCACGCATATCATGCCTGCAGCCAATCCCAGAGTCACCCCAAAGATTCCAGTGCCCGAGCCACTTCTCGCTCTTCGAAAAGAAGATCCGAGAGGGATATCAAGCATTTAGGACTTGAACTCATGGAACAACAGGCCGCTATGTGAGGACGGCTACTCCGGGGTGACAGACGAAAGGTTGCTGTGGAATTGCGTCAATCGATATGTAAAAAAGGACAAGGAGGCCGAAGTCAGGAGAAGGGGATCACCTTGTTCCTTGTGCACGGAGCGAGTTTTCCAAAGGAAGTGAGTCTCGTGATGCCTTTTCATGCATGCTGAGGATCTAACCGTGTATTAGATATGTGAGACCAATTTATGCTATCTACTAGCTGCCTGTGGTGTCATAGATGAAATATGGTCATGGGAGTCAGTGCAACATGGGGATTCCGCTGCTAAACAGACAGAATCTCAGTGGTAGCTGTAAGAGATCGTTTTTCAGACCTCCCGCTTCGAATTAATCGACAGCAGTTGATTGGACTGACAATGCGAGAGACATTGCAAATTTCTCATTAACTATATGCCAGAAGAGGTAGAAACATCTTCTCTCCCCATCCAACTTCATCGAGTTCCTGCATCCATTGGTGAATCGCGCCAAAAGAGTGGCTTCTCATCCCGGACTTTGGTTGTGGCAGGACACTCGTTTGGAGGTTGCTCGGTGTATGTCATCCGTAGTTCAGAGACCGATCGAATCTCATGATATTGCACAGTACGTTAGCCGCATTGCATTTCCCGGCCTTGTTCTCTTCGATGATCCTCGTCGATCCGATCATTGATCCTTTCCAAGGACTCGAGTGGGAGCACAACCAGTACTTGGCTGGGGCTACTTTGATAAGGCGCGATCGATGGCCATCACGGTGATTAAAATTTGACAATACTCTCGTTTCGGAGTACTACTGATTATGATTGTAGGGAGGATGCCCTGCGTTCCTTTAAATCTTCACCTGCGTTCTCTGCTTGGCATCCTGATCCTTCGGCTCTATGTCGATTTCGGACTGTACGAGGATGAAAGCGGATGCGTCAGATTGAAATTGCCTCCCATTCACGAGGCTCTTGTCCTTGCGAATTCACGAGCTAGCCGCGAAACCTGGGAATTGTTGGAAAAGCTTGACGAAAAGATTGAACTACTGTGGATTCTTCCCGGAAAACCAAGCCTGGATGTGTAGGTCAGGGTGGCGGAATGAAGTTCACTAACTGATAGGCGTTATCTGACAGGACGACGCTACTGGAAGTGAG